AGGTTCAAGAGTGTAGACATGTGATTTTTGACCCTCCCCAAGATTTTTTATATTTTAGCATGTAAATATTTAATTTAGGCCTAATAGCGTTATTTTAACTAATTTTTATCGTTTTACTTTATTTTATTACAAGAAAACGAAAAAATTACAAAATAGGTTCATTAATATTTTGTAGTCATTTTTAATCTTAAAAAAAATACAAAAATAGTATCTTATCTTTATTTTTATATAATCTTGAAAACACGAAAAAATAGTTTTATATTTTATAGTTTAGTTCAATCAATTAAAATTAGTTTTATATTTTTATATTATAATTATATATAATTTTAGAAGGAGGAATTAGTTTAGCTGGTTTATCCCGTTTTTATAAATCTTGTAGTCCATCTTTTTTTTTAGTCTTTGGCCCAATTTTCTAGCCCATAAGCCCTAAGCCCATACCTCTAACCTAATCCCTACCCCTATATAATAGTACCTACACCCTAAATGCAAGGAGATAGAAAAGAACACCCAAAAGAAGGCTAAAAAAAAAGCTGCGCAAAGAGGACCCCCCCCCCTCTCCCATCGATGGAATCTGCTTCTTCTTCATAGAAGAGAGCCAAAATTCATGGCTGCTTCCTAATCGAAACCACTAGCCCCGTCTCCTTTCACACTTTTTCCCAACTCCTTCCTTTGTTTCCGTCATAGATCACACACACACCACCAGACGAACAGAGAGCAGCGATGAGAGAGTGAGGAATTTCGTTCCAAATAATGAAGGTCGATCGAGCTCGAGGGGTCGTTCACACTGCGGTTCTTGTTCCAGTTTGGGTCTGATTGTTGTGTCGAGTGTTGGTTGTAACACTTGCTCGATTTTTTTCCGTGTATTACTGAATATTTAATCAATCGAAAGTTCGATTTTCAGTTTCCATAGTTGCTGAAGTTCTATTAATTGAAAAGCAATTTCAGTTCTTAAACTGCATTTTGCTTTTGGGCTTTGTTGATTTGAGTCCATTTTGGAGCCGTTTGTGAGATCTGTTCTGAGTTGGGTATTGAAATTTCAGGGTCATCAAGGTCCAGTCTGTCGATTTCGCCATTGAAGTTGTGGCCGATTAGTTTTGCTCTGTTTGAACGCCCTGTTTCTGTTTCTTTTAGTTCCGTTCACGTCGCTGTTACCATATGTTCTTGTACTCAACGTTGCAGAAGCTCTTATATCCGAAATTTCATCTTTTAGAGCTGCTGTTGATTGTTGTTGTGCTGGCTGAATTTATGGCTGAGCTCTAGCCTTAGCTTTTTAACCTTTTTGAGCATTTCTCATTCGTTTGTTCCGGCGTTGGGCTCTGTTGGTGTAGCTTGGCTCAACTGTGTTTGCTCGACAACGAGGTTCGTGGTTCCGAGTCCAATTTGCTGTCGTCTTTGTTCAGATTGTCGCCATTGAGGTCCATTACTCTTTGTTTTACTATGTTGGCTTAATTTCATGATTTTGGTAAACTTGCGAATATATTTTGCTCTGGTTTTTGTTGAATGATGTATTAATTCTTTGTTGCTCTATCCTTATGAAATATTTTAAACGTCTTATTAACAAAGTCCATGTTCATTAGAAGATACATTGATGTAGTGATGATTTAGACTTTATTGAATGAAGTTTTGGTCCATTCTTTTCTACTTATTATTCTTGAACATGTTTGTAGTGAGAAACAAAATATTTTCTATTGTTGTTTGTATGTTTGGATATTTCTTTGGGCTTAATTTTGTTCCATAATCTCTTCTGCCAAAGTTAGGAATAGCAATTAAAGAAAACCACAATTTGTTTAAGGCAAAACGGACCATGGGCTTTGGGGTTTGAACAGAATTAAAAGAAATTATCATGAACATAATTTATTAGTTGATAAAATGAATATCCGTAATTCACTTAGTTGAATGCTTTTCCTTTTAATTTAAGAATTGCGGTGCACCGTGCCGAACAAGAATGGCAATTGCGTGACCTTCGTTTTATTAACTTTAACTCAGCTTTAGATTCCGAGGCGTGCCATTTAGCAAATTCCATGACCCTCGCAAATGCAAACGCGTAGTTGCTTTTAGGCGCGTTATTTAATAATTTTACCTTCTTAAACTCGGGTGCACATTTATGTGACCCAAATTCAAATCCCAATGAAATTAAAATACGTCAAAAACCACGGGTGCATTTATGTGACGTGGTTCAAGACGTGTTTTAATGACGTTGCAATTCTCTTTAAAAATAATAATAAAAGCGGTTAAAGTTAAAATTTGCACATAGGTTCATAATTGTTTAAAATCAGATAATTAAGCCGAATATAACAGTTGAGAGACCGTGCTAGAACCACGGAACTCGGGAATGCCTAACACCTTCTCCCGGGTTAACGGAATTTCTTACTCAGATTTCTGGTTCGCGGACTGTTAAACAGAGTCATTCTTTTCCTCGATTCGGGATTCTAAACCGGTGACTTGGGACACCATAAATTTCCCAAGTGGCGACTCTGAATCTCTTAATGAATGAATCCCGTTTCGATTGTCACTTCAAGTTGGAAAAACTCCCTTTCATATACCCCTTCCCGGGGGTGTAGTAAGTAAAAAGGAGGTGTGACAGCTCTGGCGACTCTGCTGGGGACAAGAACCCAGAACTTCGGTTCAGGGTTCGAGAATTCGAGCTTGGAATAATTGTAGTATTTGGCTTTGTTTATTACCTGATTTTATCACATGTTTGGGCCTAACGTGGAAAATGTTGCTTTTTACCGCTTTGATATTATCTGAACTGTATATATAAAACTGCTACGAAACCCTTCTCTTCTCATCTTCGGGGATGTGCTCGCTAGTCGAGACTCCCTATTCTGTTAGTGTCATACCTTGAAATAAGAAAGAGGCTGGACAAGTTACTAAGCCGGACGATCTAACGGGTCCCCGGTACGTAGCCCCTTCCTCGACTCGAGTTGTCCGCTCGGGTACACAGTCTAGAACCCATACCCAGGATTTGAACCTAGAATAACTTGACTTCATGCCGGATCCCTAGTAGGAGCGCTTATCTGCATCATGTGCATTTTGACTTAGGGGACTCAACACAGGGGTTGGGTCCGTCTAGGACAGGTATACCCAAAATAATAGACCATCTTGATGCATCCTATGTGCTACATGTTGCATTTATTCAAGGGGAAAAGGGTCATTTGGCGGACCAATGATAGCTGAGGGTGAATGAAAAAAAAGGAAAAATTGAAAAATGGAAAAAAGAGGGAAAGAAACAAAAAAAAGGGAAAAAAAGAGGATGAAGTGTGAAAATAAAGCAAGTAGGGCCTAGTTATGTTTTGTTATATTTTATTAAGAAAAGACAAAAAAGCATGGAAACTTCAAAAAGATTTTGCACTTTTTATCATTTTTCAAAAAAATCAAAAAAAAAAAGGAAAAAGAAAATCCAAAAAGAGTTTGCATGTTTCATCATTTTCAAAGAAAAGACAAAAAATATATTTTCTCTAAATTAGTTGTTTTTTTTATTTTCGCCGTATTCAATCTGCCCGAACTACGCATACCTGATTCTCGTCTTTCGGGGCGTGATACGTATGCAACCCACATAGGTCCGGTCTTCCTAGTAAATCTTAGGTTCTTGGCTTCGCGAGGTCTTAGCCAAAACTTGCACTTCTAGCCACCTTTATCCACATAGGTTAGTTTTAGAATTCAGAAGTTGCTTTGTGTGAGTTGAGTTGTATTAATGGACTCTACTATCGAAATTTTTAGAGTTCAAGTTAAATTTCTCTTGTCAAACTTTTTTTATGCTGACGAAAGTTCTGTTGGGATCAGTCTTTGTTTGTTGGAGCATTGTTTTGTGATTTTAATTCAATCTATGAATTGAATTCAGAAGAAAACTTCAGGTTCAAATTCTCTAACCCCTGAAGGTTTGGAAGCAATGTTGAGTTTCTAAGTTCATGAACTTCTAAGTTTGAAAAACTTGATTGTTTAAGCTGAAATTTCATCTATATATTCTGGGATTAGTGACTGCTATTTGTAAGAGTTCTGTTCGATCCTGAGTTGATTCATTGAGTTGTTAATTGTAGTTGCTTTGAATCTAGGACACTAAACTGAAGTTGAGTTGTTGCCAAAATTCTGCACAGTTGAGTAGTGCATTATTTGAGTTAAAAGACTGTCCAATTACCGCTGATATGTATTGCTTTTTTAAAATGCTTTAAGTTTGAGTTAACTGAGTTTTGAGTGAGTATTACTGCAACCATCTGTTAATAGCTGCTGATATCTTAGCCAAAGTTTGCTGCAAAGAGCATTAGTTTTAGCAGCATTTTAACAACTGATTCTGCACTGTTGAGCTGATGTTTCTGTACAAGCTTTAGCTCCAGTTTTCCTACAGATTGATACTAGTGCTCCTGCAATTTTAGACTGATTTCTGCACTGCCAAAACAGTGCTACTCAAGCTGTAATTTCTGGACTTTACAGTTAGTTCTGCACCCGTTAAAAAGCTCAGGTTTGGGCAGTTTGTGTCTGAGGTTCTTGGTCTGAAAACTTGAAAAGTTCTAATAGAGTTGATAGCTTCAGTTTGCATCCTTGATAGTTGGTGAGTCTACTGCAATTTGCTGCCCAGTTTTTCCACAGCTGAAATGATTATTGCTACTATGAGTGGGGTCACTTGCTGCCTCAGGTTCCCGGGTCAATTGATCTCTGATCTTCGGAAGCTTGCTGTTAACCTGATCCCCTTCCCTCGTTTACACTTCTTCATGGTTGGGTTTGCTCCTATCATTTCTCGTGGTTCACAGCAATACCGTGCACTAACAGTACCGGAGCTGACCCAGCAAATGTGGGATGCCTTAATCAGACTTTATGTTGGAGCAGGAGAAGTGGAAAAAGCAGATTCGATATTGCATAAAGTTGCAGATTTGAACCGCTTGAGGCCAATGATTAATTCTTATTTGGTTATTATGGAACAATATGCAAAGAGAGGTGATGTTGATAATACTGAGAAAATATTTCACAGAATGAGACAAGAAGAGTAGTAACAATTACAAGGAACAATGGCTGAAGGAGGAGACTCATCATTCGTGAGGAGACATTGGGAAGGATACAAGGAGTTCTGGGGAGAGAGATTCTCCTTCTTGGACAACTACTCGCCCTTCATCAAGCGCGACAAGCCACTCCCTTCTTGGTCTCCAACTGATGTCGACGAATTCATTGCTTCTGATCCTCTTCATAGACCCACTCTGAAGACTACTAGGGAAGCAGCAAAATTTGGTGCTGTAGGAGGCCTAATTGGAGCTGTTTCAACTGCAGGCGTTGCTTGGAAGTACTCAAGGAGTCTGCATGGTACTACATTGTCTTTTGGAGCCGGTGCTGTCTTTGGCTGGACATTTGGACAGGAAGTTGCCAACCACTGGCTGCAGCTATACAGGCTCGATACCATGGCTTCACAGGTTAAACTCATGGAATGGTGGCATAACAAGTTTGAAGGACAGTCTTAATTTTGTCTTCAATTAAAAGATTGACGACATACAAGTTGGGTTTTGCTGTTAGTGCCAACGAACATTTGTTATCGGCAATAAAAATCTGTGGCAGTGTCCAAATTATATCCTGCTTTGACTTAGAATTTTCGGTTGGTCTTTGACCATGAGCTTGGCTGTTTGTTTACCTACTGAGTGGCTATGATGGTAGTGCAATTTCTGGCAGTTTTCCTTTTAAAAAAAAAACATGTTGGCTCAAGTTGATGCATTAAAAAAAAACTTGTTGTGGCTGATTTTTTGGATTGATGTATGTACCCTATCTTGAGATATCAGTTGTAGGCTCAACACTTTTGAGATATCAGCTTCACTATGTTTTCGTGTTCCTATTCTTGTTTGTTTTACTACATTTTGTTTTTGAATAGTTTTGTATTAAAAATGGCCATCTATTACCTATGGCCAAAGGAATCTTTGTGAAAAATAAAAAGTATTATTCAGTCTTTTAGGTGATGTCAGGGTTTATAATAGTCTAGTTAAGTTTGCTTAGTCTTTTGTTATTGTATTTCTTATTTTGTATTTGGAAATGTGTCACAAGTCAAAATCAAAAAAAAAAAAAAATTTGCGTTTTTATAGCTAAAAATTGTTCTTATATTTCCTCTACAACATTAGGACCAAAATTCAAAAAAAAAGAGAGAGTTTTCTTTTAGTAGCTCTTTAAAAGCTTTCTTTAAGGTATTTAATTCCAAAATCCAAAAACATTTTCTTGTAAGGTGTTTCGTCGAGAAATTAGTGAAAAATGAAAAAAAATAATTCTTTTTATTTTCATTAGAACTTTAGGATATCGTACATAGGAAAAAAACATACTTTATCTTTTGTTTTATCATTAGAATTTCTCCTTTAGGTAATCAAAATTGAAATCCAATAATATTTTGTGTTATTTTTTTTTTTTATTATTGCTTGTTTCGAAATCTTGCGTCAGGATATTAAATGAAAATTCAAAATATTTTTTTCTTTGGTTTATTGTTTAGATTTCCTCCCTAAAAAAAAGAATCAAAAAATGCTTTTCTCTTGTAGAGTTTTTTTCCTTAATAAGTTCTCATAGAGTGTTTGTTTCAAAAAGACAAAAAAAAAGAAAAAAAAACATGCTCGTTAAGCTTGAGTTTAGAATAGGTTATAGAACATTCATTCTAGAAAATTTAAAAAAAGGGGATTTGCTGGTTTTATTTCTCTTTTCTCATCAGAGTAGTCGTTAAGGTAAAAAATGAAAAGGGAGAATGTCAGTTTGTTTACTTTATTCCCGTTCTTCCAGAACTACGCAAATATCTGATTCATGCGGGGTCATGATACGTAGGCAACCTACATAGGTTTCGATCGAATCATTTTTTTATTATTAAAAGAAAAAGAAAAAGAAAAGAAAAAGGAAAAAAAAGGAAAAAAGAGAAAAAAAAAAAGGTGAAATCATGGGATGTGAAAAATCAGAGGAAAGAAAAGAGTGTAATTAGAAGGGAAAAGAGGAAGGAAAAATGAGCAAACAAGTGCTAGAAAAGCAAAGAAAAGAGAGGTTGAAATGAGCAAATTTGACCTTTGTACCCTCGAAGTCATTTTAGAACCGATAACTGTGGCTAGGTGCATTGCACGTAAAGTGAAATTATCTTACGATAAATGCCCTAACGCCAACGTGATGGCTTCATTTTGTTGTACTCATAGCAGAAAGGTGGTTGGTTTGTGATTTTTTAAAGTGGTAACTCTTCTCTACAACACAACGACAAAAGGCAATGGCAGACAACAACAGAACTGGGTTGGTTGATACCGGGGCCCGAAAGCAGCGGGTCGAACAGGACAACGGGTTGGTAGAAGAGGTAAAGATGTTGAGACAACACGTGGCGGACATGTATCGGGCATGGATGACTGGGAAAGCACCACCCCCGCCACCACCCAGCTTCATAAATGCCTTCCTTACCCAAACTCCGGACACAACGCCAGGCGATCCTCCACACTCTCCATATTTACCCGCTTATCACAGCTTTCCCAACCACCCTAGTAGCTCCATCACTCGTCGTCCAACTATCTTTTCCCAGAAGTGCCCTCCGGTAACACCCACTGTTCTCGACAATGAATACTCGTCGTCCAACTATCTTTTCTCAGAAATGCATAACCCTCTGCCGAAGAAATTTAATTTTTCTCAAAGGTGCGCATATTGCTCAGATGCCCCGGGACATGACATAGAGAAGTGTTGGAATCTGAAGAAAGCAATTCAGAGGCTTATTGATGCAGGCGACATTGTCGTGCAAAATTCGGATGCAGCAAACACTAGCCAAAGTCCATCACCTGTGCATAATGAGACGCATATGGTGGGCATGATTTATTTTGAAAAGGAATGTGAGAATTCTTCTGGGAGCCTCAGAGGTCCAAGGGCTACCAAGCTTTCAGCACTATCAGAGGTTGATCTTAAGAACGAGCCGGCAAAAGGAACCCAAAAGCAGCTTGATAAGAACAATGTGATGAAGACTTGTGAAGTTCCTAGTATTGTTGATGCAGAATTCAGTGGCTAAGATACCGTGCTTGGTAATTGGAAAGACCAAGAGGAGATTTCGATTGATTAAATATTCAGTAATACACGGATCAGAAAATCGACGAGCAAATGTGGTTACAACCACACTCGACAAACAATCAGAGCACCAAATGGAAAAAGAACCGCACTGTGAAGCGACCCTGCGAGCTCGACGAATGAGCCTCCGATGCTTTGGAACGAAATTCCTCACTCTCTTCATCGCTGCTCTCTTTCGTCTTAGTGGTGTGGTGTGATCTATGAGGCAAACAATGGAAAGGAGTTGGGAACAATGGTGAAGAAGAGGCGGGCTAGTGTTTTCGATTAGGAAGCAGCATGATATTTTGGCTTCTCTTCTATGAAGAAGAAGCCAAGATCCATCGATGGGAGAGGGGGGGGGGGTCCTCTGCTGCCGCGCTTTTTTTTATGCCTTCTTTTGGGTGTTCTTTCTATCTCCTTGCATTTAGGGTGTAGTACTATTATATAGGGTAGGGATTAGGTTGAGGATAATGGGCTTACGGGCTTATGGCGCTAGGAAATTGGGCAAAGATAAAAAAAAAGATGAGACTACAAGATTTATAAAAACGGGATAAACTAGCTAAACTAATTCGCTCCTTCTAAAATTATATATAATTATAAAAAATAAATATAAACTAATTTTTAATTAATTGAACTAACTATTAAAATATATAAACAATTTTTTGTGTTTTCAAGATTATATAAAAATAAGATAGAACTATTTTTTGTATTTTTTTTAAGATTTAAATGAGTACAAAATATTATGAATCCTATTTTGTAATTTTTTCGTTTTCTTGTAATAATAAAAAGTAAAAATATAAAAATTAGTTAAAATAACGCTATTAGGCCTAATTTAAATATTTAAATGCCTAAAATAACATAAAAATCTTGGGGAGGGTCAAAATCCCTGTCTACAGCTGTCCAACTCTTTGAATGAAATGAATAAACAAAGTATTTTTCAGACAAAAAACGACTAGACAGGTTTTTTCTGTACCCGAACTCTTATTGGAAGACTAAAACTAAGAGATAAAGGGAAATGTGACCGAGCGCTGGTATCTGAGCTCTACATATCCTTGGCTATAACAGGAATCGGGCCCACGCTGTAGTTCAGAGGTAGTGAGATGATAAGTATGCCGAGGTGAAGAGCCGGTCGAGGTGCTGTTTCGTCGAGGTTCCGGTCCGTGGTCTGTTTTACATCAAAATGCAAAACTGAAAAAGACTAGCTAAGACTATCAACTTACGGTTCACAAGATTCTATTCTATAAGTCTTCTGCAACTTGATCCTTGAGTCTTGATGAGTTTTCATGCAGACTTCTATATTTGGAACCTTGAGCTGTGTATAGCGTACAGGTGATTGCTCGTTCCTTTCAGCTTTTCGGGATCAAAAACCGGCACACACCAGCTTTGTGATTTCAGCCATGTCTTGAGCAGCCCCACAAAATCCTTTTTCCACAATCAAACTTTGCTTTGGATTACTTCTTTGCTTTGCTCCTTTTTTCTTTCTTATTGTGACTACTTCTTGTTGATCACCTCGGACTGTTGCCGTCGTATTCTTGCCGCGAGCTTCTTTTTGTTGCTGACCTGAATTGGCATTTCATGAAGTGAATTCCTCTTATCTCAGGTAGGCGCCTGCTTTCTAACACTTGAACTGTCTCTCTTCAAAACTTGAATATGTTTTCCTCTGAAACATGGAGTTGTCCTTCCCTTGTTTTATCCAGGTGGAGACGCCTGATTGCTGAACTTTCTGCGTTCCTTGTTTTCTATATGGGTGCCTACAATCAAAAACAAACAAAACAAACGAAAATTTTCTGCCCTAGTTTGCACTAGGAAGATTTGTGAGTTGTTAGCATAAATTGTAAACCACTTATACTACTGAGCATATGATGAGAGTAAACTAAAAGACTAGACTAGGAGTGCGTCTCCTACGAGTAAAAACCAAAAACTTTGACTAGCAAATGCGTCTGCTAAAATAAAACCTGAATGAACCAAACTAGGAAGTGCCTCTCCTAAGGGTGAATTTAAATGACCAAGGCTAGGAAGTGCGTCTCCTAGGGGTGAAAACTTCAGTGACTAAAACTAGGAAGTGCTCTCCTATGAATGAACTTTAATTTAGGAAGTGCGTCTCCTATGGGTGATACTTCAATGACTCAAACTAGGAAGTGCGTATCCTATGAATGAACTCTCAATTTAGGAAGTGCGTCTCCTATGGGTGAAACTTCAATGACTCAAACTAGGAAGTGCGTCTCCTAGGGGTAAACTCTTAATTTAGGAAGTGCGTCTCCTAAACAGTATAACCTGAAAAACTTAGACTAGGAAGTGCGTCTCCTGGAGGTGAAACTTCAATGATTCAAACTAGGAAGTGCATCTCCTATGATGAAACTCTCAATTTAGGAAGTGCGTCTCCTATGGGCAAAACATCAATGAACCAGACTAGGAAGTGCGTCTCCTAGGGGTGAAA